TGATCATCTTCTACACTTGCATAACTTATTGAAACTGGCTTTATTGAGATGCAGACAGATTAATAAAATGCATAGATGAAGCTGAGAGGTTGTGTGTTTACGCTCTGGGAGTTGATCTGCTGGTTTTACTGGTTCTGACACCACCCAGTTGCCATAGTGATGGACCCAGTGATGTTGCTGTTCAGTAGCGCTGGCCCGTCCATTGTGCTTGTGCACATTTGAAGTGTTTGCCTTTGAGTTAGGACACTTCTTGGCAGCCCTCTTTGTCTTTGCACTAAGTGTGCTTGTGTAAGTGTGAATGGTGTCGAACATCCCTGCGGCGCTTAGGGAGGCTAATTGTATTTTAATTACAAAACCACCAAATGCAGAAGTCAAACAGTTACCTTCCACCCACAGAAAGATACACGAAAAATGAAAGAGTGTTTGATCATGAACAGACACTCTAATGACAAAAACACACACTGGATATTCTTTTACACTATAGTTTACATTAAATACTTTTATAGTTACAGACCATGTTATCACTTTTCATTTGTATATGAGAGTGAAATGTTATAAATAACAGGGGGATAATAGGGCGACTTGCAGTTAGCGCTTTAAACCCACCAGGGGGCCACTGGTGTTGAACATTTCTCTGATTAAGTGTAAATATATTGTGTTTGTATTATTATAGCTCACCACAGGTTCTACATGTTTGTTTGTACATGCAGGAGGTCTTTTATCACTACCTTTTTAATGTGAATAATGTTTAAAGTTAGCACATTTTATCATTTTTTTTTTGTTTGTTCTGAACTTGAATTTTAGTCAATTTCACTTTCGATTAAATATTTTATAATTAAACTGGTGGGCACATACACCAACAGTTCAATTGCTTTAAAGACTATAAAGCTGATGGAAAGAGATTACTGGTGGACTTGTTCAGTGACTTTGGGAAGAAATTATCTATTTAAAAATAGAAAAAAATAAACAATGTTATTTTTATTTTATTTTTTTTTTGCGCTGTCATAATGGGGGAGTGTGTATGCAGAATTTTGAGAAAAGTGATTATTTTAATACAATTTGGAAAAGACTTTAACATAAAATGTGAGAATGCTGAAGTACTGTAGATTTTTTCTGGATGCATTGAATGTATGAAAATAGAGCATAATGTGTGTCAGCCAAAAGGGCAATACATTAACGAGTCCAAACACATTGTTTTTTTGTTTATTTTACTTTGCCCAAGGCTGCAAGAAGAAGAAAAATATTTTGTTACAAGAACTAAAGTGCCAACTTCCAAGACTTCTTATGTTTTTCCCACTGGTGCAAAACCACTTGATTGTTTGCGACAGCATGCAAGACAAAAATTGTGATCACAATATGTGTGAAGAACAACCTTCAAGAACATAGAAATTGGTTTATTCTCATAATACTTGGAGAGAAAACGCATTTTTCTGATCCTTCTGTGAAGTGTAGAAAGACGTTCAGGGAACTAAGAAAAGGTAATGCTAAGGTTAGCATTAGTGTGTCAACACTGATATTTATACATAATGATTTTCAGAGTAATATTTTTGTATCTGTTCACGTATTTTAATGCTCTAGTGTAGGATAAATGATTGATTCTAATAATTTGTTGCCAACAAATCATTTTGATTTCTTAGACTCAATGAAAGTACCGCATTACCTCAGGTGACTTGTTCAGCTGCCCCACTAATTATCAGGCCAATTACTTGATTTCAGAATTCATTAGGAAAATGTATTTTGAAAACATTTTCAAATTTGTGACAATGAACCTGTCAGGACTATGTTACATTTTACAACGAAGACATACTAAGCTCCAAATCAACAGTTGTTTGGTATGAAAATCAATATTCTTTTCAAAGATAACTTGCGAGTTTTACCAGAAGTGTGCATGTTATTGGTTTTTATTTGTATAATATGTAAAATTAGGTGAAAGAAATAAATAAAGCAGCCTATCAGGTGAAAGGGACATTAGATATAGAATTGACTTTGGCATCTATGATTGCTCTGGTTTACATGGTGAAATAAACCTGCTCCTAAACATTTTTGGTCAGGCTTTATTTCGACCTTTCTTGGTGAACAGATGATATTGGCAGAAGGATGTGAAAATTGGCTGAATTATCAGTGAGTGGGTTGCCAGGCTGTGGGCTTTTGCAGCCAGTAGCTCTTCCACTGGGTGGGTGATTTTGAAAAAGATGTGATTCTTTTCATTCATACCAACCCATCAGTCACCATTGGCAGCTTAGCATGTTTCAGATCAGGGACTGGCTTTGGGAACATTGTAGCCTCTAATGGTGTCTGTAATGTTTTGCCCTTTTAGAACAATAAATGTCTTAAACAATCCTAGCATTAAAAACTTAAATCTACTGACTTTTACATTTAAGTTCAAAAGTCAAAACAAAGGATAAAGATAACGATTTTGGGACATTTCATTAGCTAGTATAATATTTTGTTGGGTTTTACATCACAGAAGTTGACTCTGCTGAGATTGTTTTCTGAGTAACTGATGACTCCAAGGGGATTAATCAATCTCTGAGACATAACTGTTTCCCATAATGTCGGAAATCCCAAAAGACATTCAATAATAGCTCCTAGCAGTGAACTCAAGACTTATTTATTTATATACTTGTTTCCACATTGTTGTAGACAATAAAAAATTTTATTTTTAAGAGCTCTTGTTCCATATTAAGATCATCAATTTATTTAGTTGCTTTAGGTTTACCTTATGCAGAGCCATACTGTGAATATTGTGACCATAAATCGACTCATGTTTCAGTAAAGTCATTGTTATGTGTAGGGATAGCATGCAACAGTCTGAGATTGTTGTATGCTGTATATTTACAGATGGTATTCTGCATACTTGCACAGTGTCAAAGTTGGTAGTACTGTTGCCTTGCAGCATGAAGGTCCTGGGTTTGGTTCCTTTGATTTTTTTCTGCATGCAGTTTGCATGTTGTCCCTGCGCATGCATGGGTCCTCTCCTGGTACTCCGGCTTTCTCCCACAGTACAAAAATATGACTGTCAGGTAAATTGGTCTCTCTAAATTCTCCCTTGGTGTGAGTGTATGTAGGTTGTTTGCATGGTTGTTTGTCCTATCTGTGTTGCCCTGCGACACACCGGTCCAGAGTGTACTTCACTTCTTGCCTGAAACGGTCGCTGGAGATAGGCACCAGCACCCCTCCCAGCCCCACTAAGGACAAGGGTGTACAAAAAAAATTAATGAATGGATGGATTCTGCATACCTAGGTTGTAACAAGAGATTACTGTTGTCTGTATATTATCTCAAGCCAAACCATTCTTCTTTGACCTTTTACATGAAGAAAACATTTTCATCCATACAACTTCTATTTTCTCTCTTTTGGATAGTCTTTGTAAATACATTATATTTAAGATCAACTGCTCTAGAATGAAATGGGCCAATGGGACCTCAGTCCAAATTTTGTACCACAAGCATGTAAATGTAAGCTGATATGACAATAAAAAGTCCTTGATTTGTAATTGTACCCAATACATTTTGCAGATTGTCTAACAAAATAAATGACAAATTCAGTTGAATTTGTGGTGAAACAAAGTTATTTTGATCCATGTTTTGGCCTGAAGTGTCAAGTCAGTATTTCTTGGAAAACTTAATCTTTTGGGTTTTTTGTGACATATAAATGAGTCACAAAAAAATCCTTCAAATCGAGCTTTATTACTGTAGCAGTTATGGGCTAAGCAGCTAACTGTGGCTACACGAGCAGCATCGGAAGAGTGGCCTTTTAAGGAGTCTGAGGTGTGAATGAAAAAAACAGGAAACAGTACTTTTGGTTTTGGTGCATATATATTAAGTGATTTGTATACAAACAGACAATTACAACAGTACAGTGAGACACAAGATAATTGACTCAGAATAAATTGATATCGAAAATTATAAAGTCCACAATCCTTTTTGTTTCTAGCTCGCCATCTTCAGATCCAGATGAGGATCTGATCCATCAGAAAAAAACCCGACCTAAAAGGTCAGAAAACCCTTTAAGAGTTTTTTATCAAAACAATTATGTACAAACATAGTACGAAAGAAATAATTAAATTCAGGCATTTAGTTTATGCATGTTGAATGCAAATGCATAACTAGTTTTCTAATAATTATATACATAAACATTTCAATAATCAGGTTAACTTAACCATAATTTAAATAAAGTAAAACAGAAAGTATCAAGAAAATTACAAGAATTAATCAAATACTCAAGCAGAGTGAGAGAAAGGAAAGAAAATAAATATATTGTGCAATATCAAACTTAAGTGTCGCTACATTCTGATCAATTTTATTTTAACTTCACTGCCTCAAAATCCATGTAAACGTGTCAAAACATGCACAAAATTCAGCAACGAGTTACCCTAATCAGAGTGAGTGGGGCGTACTGAGCCACAATCAGCTGTGCCAGAATCTAGGTGACATATGTTAGTATTTTCTGAATACAAGAAAGTTAGTTAGTGAAGTAACCTCTTTACTAAGGCACAGTTTTTTCAAGATATCAAGACATTTTAGGCTTATCTTATTTTTTCAGAAATATGGGATTTGTATTTTATGTCCACTTCAGAACTTCAAAAGATAGTAGCCATTTGGTATGAGTTCAATGTAACCAAACTTGCTACAACTGAATGACTGGGGTGTATTAGATGAAGCACAACATAAACTGCCATTGTTTCAGAGGCTATCAATTGTTCTTTTAAAGTGATCAATTTTACTGGCTGTGGAGCATCTGCTGTTGAGGTCAATGTGTCTACCAGACTGATTTGTAAATCAAAATACTGGACGGAATAAAACCATCAATCACCCATCTATCCATTAGCAACTCCCACTTTAACATGAGAGGGAGGCACTGGGATGAAATGTAACTGCTTCAAGCCGCAGAACCAAACTAAACTTGAATCAGTTCGATGAATAAACGAGCATGCCTTGCTGATAAAGCACAAAGCAATACACTGATGCCTCTTGTTTTCCTGTTTCTGCTTATTTCAGCTGCCCCACCGCCGAGTAACCTTCTCCACCTCCAACCAGGCCCAGGATCTGCAGGATGCATCCCAGCACAGCTACTACGACAGTGGCCTGGAGGAGTCAGAGACCCCCAGCTCCAAGTCATCATCGGGCCCCCGGATCGGCCCACTAGCTCTGCCAGAAGACCACTACGAGAGGACCACACCTGACGGCAGCATCGGCGAGATGGAACACCCGGAGAACGGTAAGACCAGGTGGAGTTTCCCCTCCCTCTTTTCCTCTTCTCACCTCCTTCATTCATTCATCAGCCCTGAGGGGAGCAGACACACATAAGCAGATTTAGAAACACACCAGCATGCGTTTACACACTTTTCATCACACACTCACCTTGTCAGCAGTAAAACTAACACTGTACATGTAATCAAATTCCCACAATTCCCTGCTCTGCACACTGTATACCTTCGTTAAAGAGGTGTGCGACCTCACAGCAGCACAACACAATCAATATGCAACATAATCAACTCCCACAGCTTAACAAATTAACATCCCAATTATGTAAATCATACTTAGTTCAACCCTCCATCAGCTCCACTTACGGAGGCGCAGAGGGTGGCTAGCAGGAAACGCGCATACACAGCACTCATGGCTCCTGGACTTTACTGGTTAGCACTTCCTGAGCCTGCCATAATCTGGAAAACACGTTGGAATGTGTTTAAACTGCCAACAGGTTGAGGAGAAATCAGTCTTATCCAGTTTACTGACACATTTAGAGGTGCTATGATGCTAGCATCCCCACAGGTACAAACCTGACTGAAGTGTTTCAGTTTTTAAAGCAGATGACAGAAGCAATATAACAGAGAACGGGAGAATTGATGCTACACTCTGAAATTGGTTTCTCTCTCTTTCTGTTATTGAAACAAAGTGTGAACTGTTTTGTTGTTCACTACTCTTATTAGTTGACTTTTTGATTTCATTGTTTTGATGCAAAAAGAACAAAGCTACTAGGAATTTGCACTTGATTTCATCATCCTCTGTGTTTTTTGTTTTGTTTTTATTTTTATGTGACTGTATTTAACAGATACGTGCAACAAGAAATGTTCCAATTTATGTGTCTCCCATTGTAAGGCTATGAATTAGATTACTACAAATGACAAATCACGGGCAGAAAAGGTCAAATTTTAGTTTAGGTGAGAAACCATATTGTGTATCCCACAAACAAAACTTTTGTATCAGTTCCAGTACTCAATTCCACCCTGTGTTAATTCAAAATGCAACTTCTTCATCGAGCAATGAACTTGATAATTTAGTACAGCTAAATGTTTGGCACTCAAACACTATTTCTTTATTATTATCCTCTAAATGTTTTTTTGTTTGGATGATTTCTTTTTAATGTAAACTCGCTGACCACTTTATTTGGTACACTTGCTGATTTGGACAAACTTTCTCTTTTAGAACTGTCTTTTTTAGACTGCATTGATATGACAATGTACATAAAACATACCTACACTCCTGATATGGAATCTGATCCATATTGACATGGTAGCAGGACATAGTTCATACAGATTTGACTGTTTAAAGTCTATGATGCAAATATCCAGTTTCACCACATCCCAATTGTGCCCTATTGGTGACTGCTGAGGTCAATGTAGTACATGGAACTAGTTATCATATTAAAATAAACAATTTGAGATTATCTGAGCTTTATGCTTTATCCTGCTCAAAATAGGTAACATAGGATATTTATAAGATGGTCTTAAAAGGATGTACAAAGTCTTTCCAAATACTCTTCCACACTCTGGTGTTAAAAAAATGCAAAGTGATCCTACAGGGCCCAAAGTGTGCTGAGAAAACATCTCATCTACGCTTGTGCCATAACCACACACCTAAAATTTTGAATTTGATATACAATTTTTTTATCCTTGCGTGCTCAGTTTGAAATACATCATGTAAATGTATTTGCTCAAATCAAGACTCGTTGAACCAGGCAGGCTTCAATGAGTCTAGTTTCTAGTTTATCTAGTTTAGGTGACCTTGTGTAAACTAAAACATCTGTCCTTAGCTAATAGGAGTGGCACCAATTGTGGTCCTCTGGCACTGAATCCCATGTCTTCAAGATTTGACGTGTGTTTGTTTATAGATGGCAGAAGAGATTATTTATCTATACTTGACTCCATTTAGTCTTCAGCCAGCCTGCCCTTTCTTCTGTGTCCCCAGTAAAGCATTTTTGTCCCCACAACTGCTTGTCCCTGATATTTTCTCTTGCTCATACCATTCTTAAGAAACCAGAAGGATGATTATCCATAAAATCCCAGCAGATCAGCACAGTTTGAAATACATAGACCAGCCTATCTTGTGCATCCCACATTCAGGGCAACTTTTGATCCCTTTCTTTCTGATGCTTGGACTGGACTTCAGCAGTTTGTCTTCACCCCACCCAGATGCCTCACTGAACTGAGCTGCTGCTATGTGATTCAGCATTTGTGTAACAAGCAGTTGAGAAGGTGTAAATGGTAAATGGCTTGTAATTGCACAGCGCTTTATTAAGTTCAAAGGACCCCAAAGCGCTTCACACTGCGTTCATTCACACATTCACGCACCTAATAAAATGGTCAACTCATTTTTGGCATTGAGGATACATTTAAACATGGACTTCATTATGATTAACTGAATGATTAAATAGACAGCAGGAACATAGACAAAAGTGAAGAAAATCTTTGAAGCAGTTTACTTAAAGATTAAAATTATGTCTGACTTCAGGAGAGTCAATGTTATTATTGGTATATCTGAATTGAAAGGAGAAGTGAAGATGAAAGAGCAAGAATAATATAAAGCAAATTTGGAAGTTACTTTGAGTGAATTTAGGATTTAACTATTTGATCAGATCTTTAGAAAGTAAATCTGACATTGTATCTGTATAAACTGAAGAAAGGTGTAGCATATAAGGTTTTAGATCGAAAATGTTTTCACGATCTAATTTAGCCAGTACATTTTTAGGTTCATCTCAAGTTCGTGTTACTCATTTACAGCAATATTCAATTTTGATGTGTTTTTTTCTTATTTATGCTGACATTGAAAAACAATGTTTCCTTTTCAAGATAGAACTGTCACTGAAAAAAAGAGGAAAAGGATAGTAGGCAGTTAAAAAAACAAATCCTATTTGTTCCCATTATTTCAATTTCAATTTAAAAACACCTTCATCACGGCACTGATTTTCATCACATTGTAGATAAACTAAGATTGTCTGTTTTTGACCTTTTAAATGGTGTAAACGACTGTTTTGTTACTCTTTTCTGTGTGACAAATGCTTTACAGATAGATCTTGACTGATTGACAGATATAGCATATATGTGAGTGTCCAGCTGCCTTACACTTTTGCATGTCAGCTAATGGGAAATTACAATGTTTCTTTGCATGCCTTGAATCGGAATGCTTTTATCTCACTCTTGCTTTATGAGCCAACTGTGCAGTATGTATGAAGGCAGTGAAATATGACTTTTTGGAAATGAGCTTCAAATCAATCAAGATCAGTAAAAACAAATTAAGTGTGTGCTTAAAAATTATCTCTGCTTTGTGGTTTTGAAGAGAGATTGTATTGAATCTTTCTGACCAGATTTTGTGCAACTGCTGCACAAATATAAAACCATTCAGATGGCTATGACTGATCCAGCCACAGTCCTCTATCTCTGCCGCATATTCAATGAGCCTCATTTAAATCTTTAAAGCACAGAACATCTTGAGCATAAAAGCCATAATTTATCCCAATAATCAGCGAATTGCAAGAGAGTGAATCAAAACAAGACAGGAATAAGAGCTACTTGTATGTTATGCATGATAACTTTACATTTAGATAATGATGCACACTAGCAGGTGGCTTTTAGTGTCTAAAGCGACATTCCCTGAAGTATAAATAAAACAGCCAATTTACCTACATCATGGAACCAAATTAAACTTTGAAGTAGCAATTCGCCAATCTTTTCTTACTTATGTTGCTGTTTATTGTTCTGCTTTGGCTCGGAACGCCTCGTTAACACTTATACCAATTAAACTAAGTGAGGTGAAGACGTTGAAGTGGGCGAAGAAATAAAAGAAGGAAAGGGATGGAGGAAGGGAAAGACAGACATTAACTTTAAATGTCACAGCTGTCTTCTGTCTTTCTTGGAGGGGTTGAGAAGTGTCATTGAACCCACAGGTCGCACATATACCATCTGTAAACACAATTATTCACAGCTGCTTGCACACCCATAGGCTACTGCCACCCTCTGTGTGTGTGTGTGCGTGTGTGTGTGTGTGTGTGTGTGTAAGAGATGGTGATAAAGACCAGGAGAAAGTAGCTGACTCCTCACACACTGGATTAAGGTCAGCTTTTGGTCCGGAGTTGATGTTGTTTCAGTCTTGTGCTTTGATAGTTAAACATGTTTGGGCTGTAGACGTTTTTTTTTTTTTTTCTTTTTCCAAAGGAAATGTGTGCTTTGTACGAGCTGAGAGGTCAACAGATTACTGCCTGTATTCCGAGGATTAACACACTCCCTCTGATACACTTTACTCTCCATCGCTCCTCATTCTGATGATGCCACTTCATTGAACTTGAAAAATGCCAGCTCCCTCTGTATTATTATTATTATTATTATTTTTTTAATCTCAGTAAGAATTGGTCTGTAAATTATATTTACCTCACATGTTTCTCCATAATCTAGGTTTTTCATTTGTTTCTGCATCAGGAATATTGTCTAAAGGAAAGTATAGGGAATATATACAATATTAGAATGTGTTTTACAAAAAAAAGAAAAAAAAAAAAAGATGATAAACAGTTACAGACATTATATTTTTAGGGGTAATTGGATTGTGTTGTTGGGGATTTTGTGGGTGTGTCTATGTGTGGGGCTTTCCCTTTAAGAGGTGCAGCCCAGCTGCATGTCTTGTGGCTTCGGCCAGGAAGCCAAACTTTTACCTGACGTTGGGTTTAGTTAGAGCACCTCCTGATTTAATTTCAGCATTCAGTCTACTCTGTTAGAACTAGACAATTATTTTACATCTTAACTTGGAAATATTTCCACACAACATTAAATCTTGTCCACATCCGTCTTCTGGGGATGAATATTGTGTTAGGTTCGGTTCTCGACTTCAGGTAATCTGTTACAAAGCTCAACTTTTCTTTGGACGAAGCTTTTCCTTTGTTGCTTTTAATGAACTGGAGACACTGTGAGACTAAAAAGTTAAACATTTCATCTGTTGTTTGCCTGCATA